TTTTTTGGTACGTACCCATATGTTACTGGAACCTCAATGGGGTTTTAATGGCTTCTGATGTGGGAGGTCTGTTTCTATTCAGCTCTTTAATTGTTGCATTTCATTGTCGGTAACCTGGAAATAAGATGTTTCATATGTTTTCCAGTTTCATCATCTTCGAGAAGAACTGGGTCTCCTGTAAAATCCAATCAAAACCCGAGTTTTGTCTTCTTTACTAATAACATACACAGACCAATCCTAGAACGGCGATTTTGCGCAGATCGGAGATAAATGCTTCGAATCAAGAAGAAACAGCTTCACCTTTCGCATCCGTCGTATCAGAAGGTCTATACTCAGCTCAGACTTTCGATTTGACACCTCAAGATGTCGATTTGGTACTCGAAAATGTTAGGCCCTTCTTGATCTCCGACGGTGGTAACGTCGACGTTGTCTCTGTTGAAGATGGTGTAGTTTCTTTGAAAATCCAAGGTTAGTTTTCTTTTAGATTTTTGGAGTTAGGGTTGCTGATTTCGTTTGACAAGTTGGAAAATTTTTGATTAGAGTTGGAATCAATCACTGATGCAGGATAACTTTGTGTACCATTTGGATTATTAATTTTCTTGCTATATAGTCCTTGATTATACTCGCTTATGATTGAAATGAGATCTTAGTTGTATTCAGTGAGTTCATATGTATTTAGGTAGTTTAGGTGAGTTCGCCGCAGAGAACGTTAATCAGCAATGAAGGATATTCATGTAGGCTATAATTCATAGCATAGATACCACGGGACGAATATGGCGGTTTAAGTACAGCTCTGTTCCAGCATGACTCGAGCGACATCCTTTTTTGTGTTTTTCGGATTCTTGGTTTGATGGGTTCTGTGTAGAGTTTGNTGCTCATGTGCATATTGATCAAACCTGTGTTTACCTCTCTTCTTTTTGGTAGTTTACGGTTTATCAGTCTCTCATTCTTTACAATGGCAATTACGCAAAAAGTGGTGCTCGAATTTAGCCGCTTTTCATGTGTGTTATGTAGTAACAGTAGTGATGGTCAATTATGAAAACAATTAGAATCCTTTACGTTGGAAAATGTTTGTTTCATAGTTTAGGTTTAAAGCTCTAGCTTTTTGATGTTCACATGTTATGTGAGTGAGCTTATGTTGAATTGTGTTGTTATGTTATAGGAG